GGGTTTACGCTAGAGGATTCTAGTAGTAAAGAGTCTATATAAGTAAGGAAATAGTAGAGTATATATTATATTAAAACGAATTGCTGGCCTCTAGTAAGATAGTAATCTAAAGCCTATTTATATTCTAAACCTTAAGTACTTCTTAGCTTTATCTTATATAAATCCTAAAAGTAAGAAGAGCGAGGTTTAATTAATTACCTCAGTATTATATTCAGATTTAGGGCTTTACTATAATTCTATAAGCTTATATTTTAGCGAGAAGCTAGGGGTATAATAAACCTATACTATACTTAAAGATATTAATTTTCTAATTAAGCTATAGGTAAAAGCTACTTAGACTAATATATAGATTAAGAATAAAGTATTAAATAGACTAATAGTTAATAGAATATAAGTAACTCCTAAGAAGGTATTTACTAGAGTAAAACTATTTATTAATTACCTAAGAGTATAAGGATACTAGGTAGTATTATATATAAACCCCGATTTACTACTGCTAGAAATATAGAGAGATAAGTTAATAAACTGCAGATACTTATACGTATTTATTAAATATATTAAAGGCACAGATAAATAGTAGAAAGTTTAAATACCTAATATAAGAAAAGTTATTAAGACTTATTAAGCTAAATTCTTCGAGAATAAATAAGGAGAAAATATTAATCTCTATATCCTATAAAGGACTATACTAAATATAGCTTTAATAAGGAACTTAAAGGGGCGACTAGCTATATAAACTAATGCGTTATTAGCTTAATAATCTAATTAGCTAAGGTTTTATAAGTTTAAACTTATAAGACTACCTAATAAATTAGAACTACAGAATATTAATATTAATAACTAGGTACTAAGTAATAGAAGATAGATATCTTATACGCTTATATCTTCTAGACTTTCTTAAGACTAGGAGGAAGAGGTTATAGAAGGCTTTCCTAAGAGTACTAATAACTAAATATTAAAGAATTAGAAGGCGAAGGCTATAGAAAGCTTCTTTAAGATAATTTTAAGGAATAATTATAAGAATATACCTATCTTAGACTATGCGCAAGAGACTATACTATATATACAGATTTAGATATTATCTTATATTAAGATCCCTGCGATAATAAAGTAAAAGAGAGAGATATATAAGCTTATAGAGAACGAACAGAATATAAAGCTCTATAAAGCAATACTTGCTCTAAACCTTATTACTCTAGGAATTATCTTAAATAAAGAGGAGTATATAGATTATATATTAAAAGCAGCTCTCGCTGCTAAAGAATATATTCTAATCTCTAACTTTTATACGGCCGCAGTTAATAATCTTATATAAAGTAAATTATAGAAAGAGGCTTTTAAAGCTAAGATAAATATACTATAAGTAAATAAAACTTTTAAAGTAATTATTCTATTAAAGGAAGCTAATATTATAATTAGCAGATAAGTACTAGCTATAAAGTATAATCTAGATAATTTTCTATAAAAGCTAAAGGCCTATCTTATTACTTATAAATTTACCTAGAAGTATAAAATTAACTTTAAATATACTTTTACTTTAACCCTGCGCTATAATACGCTATAGGTTTTCTTAGCTATAATAGCTATAGAAGACTATAAGTGCTATATAGTAAATATTAATAATGCCTTTATTAAGTTAATATTAAAGGAGAAGATTTATATAATAGCTTTACTTAAAATAAATATTTTACTAGGAATAATACTTAAAGTCTTAAAATCTCTATATAGTTTAAAGTAAGTAGCATAAGATTAAAACTACTCTTATATTAAAATACTGTAGAGAATAAGATTTATTTAAATAGATATAGACCTATGCTTACTATAATACCTAGAGAAAGAGATTTTAATCTTAGTATATATTAATAATATCTTAATCGGCTTAAAGTAAATAAAGTATATTAACTAGTTTAAATAAGAGTTTAGAATAGTATATAAGATTAAGGACTTAGAAGAAGTAGATAAAATACTTAGTATTTAGATTATTTGCAATAAAGCGGAAAGAATATTAATTATAAGTTAATCTTACTATACTTAGAAAATCTTATCGAGATATAGAATAAATAAGGAGAAAGCTTACCCCGTTAGTATTCCGCTAAATAAGTATAATTATTTAAAATTAACTAGTCTATAAGATAAAAGGGCTAACTAAAGAGAATATTAAAAGATTATTAAAGTACTTATTTACTTAGCGATTTTAATAAGACTAGATATTATATTTGCAGTAAGATAATTAAGTTAATACTTATTTAATCTATTTAAAAGCTATTTTAAGCTATTAAAATCCTTAATAAGATACCTATAGTTAACTATATATTTAAGCCTCTAGTTCTATAAGAACTAAGATTAAAAACTTATAAGGTATTTTAATTTAAATTACGCGATAAATAAGATAGACTAAATATTAATTCTAAGAAATATTTTTACTATAGTAAGCTATTTAATTAATTAATTAAGTTAGAAATAGAAGTCTATTATAACTTTAATAATAGAGACTAAGTATATAGCTATATATTAAGCAATAAAGTAATTATAATAGCTAGTATTACTTTTACGCGATATAGATTATAGTAAATATATTAGTTTAAACTAATATAAGCTAATTATAAAGGAAGAACTATTTTTTATAATAAGCTCTTTAATAAAACTCTTTAAGAATAATTAAGTATCGCTATTTTTAATTAGAGATACTTATACTTATAATAAATTAAACTATATTAATATTATATATTACTATATATGTAATCTATACTAAAGAAATTAAATTAATATAGAATATATTAGGACTAAGAATATAATAGCTAATAGATTTATTAAACCGCTCTTAAAAATAGGCTTCGCTAAGTTTATTAAGTAACTAAGACTTATTAAGATAGTAAGTTTAGACTAAGGAGAAGTATTACAATATAGCAGTTAAGACTAGTAGTTTATAGAGAGAATATATAAGAGATTCTCTTATAAGAGAATCTAGGATAATTATATATATAATTATAGAGAATAGTTAGCCTAATAAAAGAGTTCTTATATTAAGTATATTAGCTTAAGAAGAGAACTTAATTAACTTAATATAATTAACTAACTATATTATAAAGATATATTAATATTAGTTTTACCTCTTATACTTTATCTTTACTTTAAGTTATACTTTCCTTTAAAGCTAGTGTAAAAGTCGTTTTATATTCTCTATTCTTTTTAACTTATATCTTAATAATAAGCAGTTAATTTTAATAGGTTACTATTATATATTAAGCTAAAGTACTATAATAATATTAAAATATTTTTAAATTAAATTATATAAAGTAATAATTTAATCTATAAGCTAATTAATACTTATAAATTAAGTTTAAGAAATATTTTAAAAGAGAATAAAGATTAAAAAATAGATTTAGCTAAATAATAAACTTATAGTAAAGAGAGTAAAAAGGAAATAAAACCTAAGAATAAGCTTATATAATTAAAATACAGGTAGTAGTAATAGTATACTATTAGTATATAATTAGATTTTTAAATTTATTCTTTAATTTATATAATTAAAATATTATAATTAGATTTTAAGTTTATTTTTATATATATTTTATTATATATAATAATTATATAATAGTAATATATATAAGGTTTAAGCTAAACTTATAAACTTTTAAGTTTAGCTAAATGTTTTAGCTTAGCTAAATAAATTAAGCTAAACTTTTTAGCTTAGCTTAATAGGTTAAGCTAATATTTTTAATAAAACTTAAGAGTCTTAATAAGTTAAGCTAAATTAAGCTAAGCTATAACTTAACTTAATATTAATATTAGCTAATACTAGAAGCTAGCTTAAGATAATAATAATTAAATAATATAATAAGTTATTATAATAGCCTTTAAAATACTTTTAATAATAATTAAGCCTTAAATAATTTTAATATACTACTAAAATAATATAGTATAGAGAATAAAGAAGTTATTCTTCTATTAGCTATATAAGGAAGTAATTATATAGCTAAGTTATTACTTAAAGCTTTTATACTTTATACCTTTATTAAAGTAATAAGTAAGCGATACTAAAATAATATTATATACTATATTTATATTATATAATAGCTTATTTTAATTTAATTTAATTTAATAAAAATTCTATAGCTAGTTTTAATATTAATTACTTTATTTTATTTATTTTAATTTAATTCTTAAGTTTATACCTTAATAGCTTATTTATAATAGCTTATTTTAATTTAAATTAATTAAATTAAAGTTTTATAGCTAGTTTTAATATTAACTATTTTATTCTATTTATAGTAATCAAATTTCTAGGCTTATATTTTAACACTATATAGCTCTAACCTATTAGGGGGAACGATTTAGTATGGGAAAAACGCACCTTGCCATTTTTCCCATACAAAGTGGGCCACTTTTTTTCGCCCACTGAGCATGCCACGAGGGACTTAGTCGTGAGCGCCGGTCGGGTGGGCCACCAACTGGCGAGCCGCCGCCCACCCGCCCGCAGCCCCCCCCCGGCCTGGATCCGGGCCCGCCGCAGGTTCAGAGCACGCGCTGTGCCTTATATTGGCCGGGGGAGGGGGTGGGAAGCGAGGAGGGAGGGGAATAGGCGGTGCACCGGGGATGGGGAAGAGAGATATATATTGGTGTACGGACCGGTGGTGTGATATATATATATATGTATGGGGTGTATGTACACATGCACCCCCCTTTCACTGCACCTACCCGGAACGGCCCCCCTCCGGGTAAGGCCTTTAACTGCACTTACCCGGAACGACCCCCCTTCCGGGTAAGACCTTTAACGGTACTTAACGGGAATGACCCCCCCCCGGGGGCGGCACGCCGACCGGTCACGTGACCTCGCCGGCCACGCCTGCACCGACTCCCTCCCGGTAAGACCTTTACCCGGAGCGACCCCCCGGGGCACCCCCCCCCCCCCCCCCCCCCCCCCTTTAACGGTACTTACCCGGAACGACCCCCTTCCGGGTAAGACCTTTAACTGCAACTCCCCCTCCCCGGTAAGACCTTTACCCGGAGTGCCCCCCCCCCGGGGCTAGGGTTCCGGGGTCTCGCGCCCGGGAGCCCTTACCCGGCGGGACGCCTGCGCCCCGGCCCCTCTGCCTGCCTGCGCCTCCGGCCTCCCCGCGAACGGTGCCGCCCAAGGCCGATTCCTCCCGTCCCATTGTCAACTGGCGGAGGCCCACTCCCCGCCAGTCTCTCTCTCCCCCCTCCCCGCGGCCAGGACCCCCAGCCGGCTGCCCCGGGGGCCCTCCCGCCCCGGGGGCTACTGCACGCAGCTCGCCCCCGGCCTCCCCGTACGGCCCAGTTACCGGCCGCCGGGGCACCTCCTTTCCTCCCTCTACGCTGCCGGGCTGCGATCGGGACCGACTGCGCTCCAGGGCCGGTCCACTGCCCGCCTGCCCTGAGACCGCCGGCTCCCTGCCCCCGGCCGTGGCGCCCGGCCACAGTTCCTTCCTCATAGACTCTCCGACCTCAATTGAGCTTGGATCCTGCGTGCAACGGTTCCCCTGTCCCAAAGTCGCTGCCGGGGAACGATTTTGTATGGGAAAAACGCACCACATGGGCCATTTCCCCCCATACAAAGTGGGCCACTTTGTCCGCGCGGCCAAGGCCCTGGACCGAGTGGGCCAGCAACTGGCCGATCCGGGGTCCCTGCAACGATGGAGTGTCCGGGGGTAGTGCCGGTAAGGACCACGCCTGCACCGATCCCCTCCCGGTAAGACCTTTACCGGGAACGACCCCCCCGGGCACCCCCCCGGGGGTACCCCCTTTAACGGTACTTACCCGGAGCGACCCTCCCGGGGCACCCCCCTTTAACTGCACCGACCCCCTTCCGGGTAAGGCCTTTAACTGCACTTACCCGGAACGCCCCCCTCCCGGTAAAGGTCACGTGACCGTGCCGGCCTCTCCCTCCCGGTAAGACCTTTACCGGGAACGACCCCCCCCGGGCACCCCCCCCTTTAACGGTACTTACCCGGAGCGACCCCCCCGGGGCACCCCCCTTTAACGGTACTTACCCGGAACGCCCCCCCCGGGCACCCCCCCTTTAACTGCACCGACCCCCTCCCGGTAGGACCTTTAGCTGCACTTACCCGGAACGCCCCCCTCCCGGTAAAGGTCACGTGACCGTGCCGGCCTCGCTGCACCGACCCTCTCCCGGTAAGACCTTTACCCGGAGCGACCCCCCCGGGGGCACCCCCCTTTAACGGTGCTTACCCGGAGCGACCCCCTTCCGGTAAAGATCACGTGACCGTGCCGGCCTCGCCGCAGCGACTCCCTCCCGGTAAGACCTTTAACGGCACCGCAGTCATGCCCGGGGTGAACACGACTGCCACGTGACCTCCCGCGTACGGCCAGGCACGGGGGCAGAATCCAGCACGGTCCGCCGCCGGCCCCCCGGGGGCCTCACCTTTAACGGCACTGGCCCCCCTCCCGGCAAGACCACGCCTGCAGTGACCCCCCCGGGGGTCGGATCTTTACCGGCACTGCCCCCCGCCCCTCCCCCCCAGCGCTCACGACCGCGCCGGCCCCTCCAAGTCGCCGCGCCCGTCGCAGAAACACCAACTGGTTTCGTCCGGCGCACACGGTTCGCGACGCCGCTGCCGGCCCCGCGAACCTCCCGCTGGACCCCCCTCCAAACGCCCGGCGCTGCCGAACCCTTTGGTGGGGAGGTGTTACAACAAATCGAGCCAAGGATCGGGCTGACGCTCAGCGACTCGTAACAACTAGGCTACTTGACCGCTTACACGACCCGCTTGGTCACTTCAGTCGTCTGCAGAGGATCTATCCCCGCGCGAGGTGACATTGCAATCCGCCAGCCAGCCCCCGGGGGTTTCTCCCCGGGGGCCGTCGCCAGCCTGCTGAGGTGCATGGCCCGAAGGCCTATTCGTATCCAACTACGACGTGCGGGGCGAAATCGCCGCGTTCCGGCACGGATTCTGACTTAGAGGCGTTCAGCCATAATCCGGCAGATGGTAGCGTCGCGGCACTGCCTGGTCAGACAGCCGCAAAAACCAATTATCTGAATCAACGGTTCCTCTCGTACTAAATTGAATTACCGTTGCGGCGACCTTCATCAGTAGGGTAAAACTAACCTGTCTCACGACGGTCTAAACCCAGCTCACGTTCCCTATTAGTG